TTAACTTTATCACAGCTTCTTTGATGTTGTTGTTTTAACTCATTACTAGATAGTTTGGAACACTGGTTTCTAAAAAGTTCTATTTTGTTAATATTTAATCAGTGCTCCTTTTTTTAAGTAAGATTTGAAATTCTATTTTTAACTAACCTATTTTAAGTGAGATACATAGTAGTTATTTGTATCTTTACCTCTAGTGTTTTAAAGTGGAACATAGTTTTCTTATATTTAGAAAAAGTGCTTAAAATATGTATTGTGAACTTGTGGAATCTTTTTATACACTTGTATATATTTCTAAATATATGTTTAATTTAGTAATATAAAACATGAGAAGTACACAAGGGCTGAAAATACAAATTTTACTGTCATCTATATTTCTCTACAGAATAAAAGATCATTTATGTATTCCTCTATATAAGATCCTTGAAAACAATGACAAAGTTGAAAAAAGCAGGTTGGCAGTTGCATTTCACATTATCACATGTAGAGGGCAGCAGAGAGCTTAGATTTAGTTTTCTCTACCTATCATGGCTTTCCTAGCTTAATTTCTAATTACTTGTTCCAGACAAAAGTATATGAAAACAAGTAATAATATCTAGACTAAGAAAAAGCAAAGGTTATTCTTCAGTTCTCATTTGTTTCTAAATTCCAGAAGTCTAATTTTACATTAAAGGGAGAAAAAAGTTAAGTATAGCCTAACAATTCTTTTTCTTTGGAAAAGGGAAACAATGTTATCTTTCTCCTTAATCATTTTTTAGGAAAGAAAGCATCAACAGCCCCATAAAGCAGAACAGGCTATAATTAAACCTGGTCTTTGGAAACCAGATTTACCAAAAACTTGGTATCCTTTACAAAGCTGCATTATTTTTAGATAACTCAGGTTTCTGTTTATAAATTCTAGATTTTCTACATACATAGAAGACACGTAACCAGTATTCTTCAAGTATGTCATTTGTAGAAAGTTCTATAAATAATTGCTATTAATAATATGATCATTACATAAATCATCAATTGAAATAGGATCTTTTCTAAAACTTAAGCAGCTGGAACTATTTTATCTTTTTACTTACCTGCCTTGATATACAAAGGATAGAGAGTAGATAATGTCTCAACTTTTGGGGGGTTTCCTTCTCTATAAAATGCTGGTAGTTATTCAGCAAACATTGGCCTGAGACTAGGAGACCAAGGTTTTAAATCTAGCTCTGCCCGATTCACAGCATGACAGTGAGCACTGAGCATGTACCCAACATGTACTAAAGGTGTTACATTTAGTGACTTCTCTGGAAGTCACTATATTCTAATATGAGTTGAATAGACCAGATTCGGACCTGTTCAGCCATTGATTAATCATGCAACTTTGGACAAGTTTCTTAAACTTTCTGAATCTGGTTTTGTCACCTGCAAAAGAGGTAATAATACATATTTTATAAAGCTGGTTAAATAAGATAGCATGCATAAAGCTTCTAGCACAGAGTAAAAACTGAAATTTCCCATTTCTTTTTCACGATATCTTTCAAGTTCTTCCTAAGAAAACTGAAGAGGATGGGTTAACAATCTCAAAGGACCTTTCCAGCCCTCTGATTTTCATTGAGTATTATTAGAGTCAAGACTGTCTCAAGCCCATCACTCAGAGTACTAATTGAACATGCCGTGTTCATTGTTGCTTTTTTTGATGCTATCTACAATTGTCTATATTTAGTCCATAAACCTGAACATTCCAAATGAAAATATGATTTTAGAGTTGGTGAGCCAGGATTTTTGTGCTGTGACTATCACTATTAGACTTCATTTGGATCCTGTAGGCTTTTCATTTTTATATATATAAAGACTTCTACCTTTACCTCATGGGTCCTCAACTACAGGAGAGAAATGAGAGATATCTCTTCCTCTCATTATCTTGGCCTTACCTGTATCAGAACTGTATAGAAGAACATAGTTTGGAGAAAGACATCAGGTAAGAGACCCATGAGAATGCCCCAGAAGTTTCTTTCCTCTCACTGTTCATAGCTCTTTATTCCTTTATGAAGCTAAGTAGTCATAAAGTATTGACCTTACATTTTTGAACTGATGAAACTAACTGAATCAGACTACTGGGTTCTAATCTACTTTCTTACTATCTCTAAGGGCTTGGGCACATCAGTGTTCTTACCTATAAAATTAGGGATCTGGATTTTATTATCTCTAAGGTGATCCCACTTTAAAACTATATAGAACTATCTTCTACAAACAGTCAACCATTCTTAAGGCCAACCACATCACGTATATAGCTCAGGTGTGACTGGGCAATAAACGAGAGATGATGAAATATAACCAATCACCATTACTTTAAAAAAAAAAGTCTCAATACACCCTAGCCTATTTGGCTCAGTGGATAGAGGGGCAGCCTGTGGACCGAAGGGTCCCAGGTTTGATTCTGGTCAAGGGCACGTACCTCAGTTGCAGGCTCCTCTGCAGTTTGGGCCCTGGTTGGGGCTCTTACAGGAGGCAACCAATCAATGTGTTTCTCTCACATTGATATTTCTCTCTGTCTTTCCTTCTCTCTTCCACTTTCTCTAAAAATCAGTGGAAAAATATCCTCAGGTGAGGATTAAAAAAAAAGTCTCAATACAGAAAGATGAATTATTAGCATCATCTTGAATACAAAACACATTGGTGTTTACAGAAGAGCAGTGTTGGCTCTTACTGCAAGAAATAACATTGTCCTGCAAACCTTAGTAAATTGTTTTGTATAGATTGTCATCATAAATAGTCTATGTCCACTTTATTGTTTTGTTTTATTTTGATAGGCTGACGTTCTATCCACTGAGCCAAACCAGCTAGGGCTATGCCCACTATTTATTTGCTCTACTCACTCTTCAACCTCTGTAATCTTCTGTCTTTATTTCAATGAACTAGCACACTTGAGGTCCTCATTAAACTTATCAATTAAACTAAATCCATGAATCTTTTCTTACTCTTCTTAACCTTTTTGCTGTAATTAATACTTTTTCTCCCCTTGGCATCTTGCTTTGTTTCTTTCTGACTGCTCCTTTTGCAAATTTCTTCTTCCCTTAGCATTTCTCCAAAGTTAGATCTTTGGACCCCTGTTCTTTTTGTCCAGATTTTCTCCCAGGTGTTTCATTCACTCCCAAAACTTCAACTCTGATTTCTTTGTGTCTGACTCCCCAGTCTAAATCTATCCTCTGACCTCTTCCAAGTCCTTGCCAAGTATTTCCAAGCACTAGGTCAGTATTTTCAATTGCATGTTCTTCCACCACCTCAGACTCATCTAAAATGATACTCAGAATTTTCTTTCAAAGCTCATTCCTCCATATTTCTTTATTTGCATTAACAGTTACCCCTCTGAACTTGAAAATCATAGGCATCTTAGACTTCTCGCATATGTTGTCTCTTGCATATAATTTCCTACCTTACACAGAGTTCTTGATACCTGATTGTGACTTTTGCATTGTTTCCAGTCATCTTTAAAACCATCTTCAACACCACTTTACAACATAACTTTCATTTATCTCTCACATCTGCTCAATAAAACCCTCTGCTCCTTTGTCTTTACCCATAGCCCGTGACCTCGCACTGAATTCATTTTGTTTCTTTGAGAAAGCCTTGCACTTTTCCCTTGCTCAGACCTATGAAAAACATAACATGGCCTTCAAGGCATGAAATAACATCTTAAAGCCTCTTCCCTAGTGTCTTTCCTCATCTCAGCTCAGAAAACTACCAGAAGTGGTTTCTCCTTCTGAACTCCTGTAACACTTACTAGCTATATAGTTTATTCTCGAATTTTCAAAAGCTGTCTTATATTAGTTATCTCTTTGTGTGCCCTACCTTTACACGGTGGCCTATTAGCACTTTAGGATTAGATATGAAACCTGTTTTTTTGTACCACCCTCATTATCTAGAATAATGCCTTCTACACAGTAGATTTTTCAGATTTCTCTGCTCCTAATAAATCCTAAGAATGGAAGTATTTTTGCAGATTACCAGCAGTGTGCCTTCCATAGTTAGGATAAAAATCCTGCATTTCAAAATAGAATACAGTACTTTATGTTAAAGAAGAAAATCGGTTTCATAACAGGACTACCAAACCAACAGAAGTAGTGTTTTTCCAGAGAAGAAAGGATTTAGACTAGAAATTTAGAGACTGTCACTAGTATGTGACCTCACTTCAACTCTGTGAACTTCATTTCTTCAGCTGTAAAATGCAAGACTTTTTATGTAGATTTTTGACCCTATTAGGACTATATCAAGGTTAATTCAGAATAGAGAAGGACCCTGTTACACATTTTTAGAACAGAAATCACCTTTTGTGTATTTGTTATAAAAATCTATTACACAGATATCAAAATTTTAAAACAAAGAAAAAGTATGTGCCTTTAAGTCTTAAGAAATACTGAACTTTAAACTGTGAGATAGCCCAATTATACTTCACATTTATTTCAAGAACAGAGTGACCTGAAGTGTGCCTACTGCACTTACTCTGTTAGTCTGAAGAAAACATGGTGGGAACCAGTTTCTAAAGACTTACATAATTTTACAATTGTGAATATACTTATACTCAAGTAAAATAAAGGCAAAGTCCCAGGATAATTAGGCTTTCCTTCAGTATATACACTTATTTAATTCTGAATTATTATTTTCTTAAAGTTGTCAACTTGCCCATACTAAATTTCTTTCTAGGCAATAGGGTTTTATAAAAAAAAAGGATTCCTGTCTATGACTAAGTACTAGAGTAAGTAACCTAAATAAGCAATTAATTTCCCTTTGGGAGTGCTTTTAAATCAGGAAAAGCCTTACATTAACCCAGTTTCCTTTTCCCTTCTGGTCTTAATGTAGACATTCTAAACCTCTTGATAAAGAGCTTTCTCTTGCACAGTGAAAAATGAGAAGCCTAGGTGTGCCCAGCTGTCAGTTAGCTGTAGTCACGTGTCTGTTAGGTGCCCGCCCACTGGAGCCTGGTCCGAAGCAAGCCCCTCCCACAGAGCCTTGAGGTCTGTGTGCTTTTTCACTGCTGCTCCCAGAGGCAGTTAGCTCCACCACAAGGAAGAGGCATGGGCAAATGGCTGCCAAGGGTGGCTGAGCACTCAGAAGAAAAACCTGTGTGTCTGAGTAGTGATTGGTTATAGGGCGACTTGGATGTGGATTAATTCTAAAGATTTTAAGGGATACTTGGTGAAGCATGGTGGCTCATGATGAGATTGGAGGTCTCCTGCCTATTAAAAGGACTATACGAGTCCTAGATGTGAATAATCAGTCCTTCAGAGAACCAGAGGTAAGACTTTTAGAGAAAATTTAAGCCAAAAGGATGTCTTCTAATTCCACAGAACTTTAAGATTTTTAATAATTTATAAACAGTATACTTTTAAACTTAACTTTTGATCTTGCTGAGTGTTAAAATGCAAGTTTGAAATGTGTTCAGGAACTTTGGTAAAGTTTAGGAACTATGTTATAGTTAGGTTTATACATAGCATAGTATGAGTGTATGCAAACTTGAAACAGAAAAAGATTTTAAGTGTTATGCTGCTCAATTTGCTTAAATTGGTCACATTTCTAATGCTTATTAAATAGTTACTATTTTTTTAACTTACATTTATGTTATCTAGTTTTAGAAACTACTTTATGGAATAAATAAGACTCCTCTGCCAACTAGTGAACAAACTGCAACTAAAATGCGATCTGATCTAGTGCTTGTTTTTATTTTTCTTTCCACATCTAATAAGTTAATTGTATGCAACTTTTTTTTCTTCAGAAAGAAAAATATGTTAAAATATTTAAACCAGTGAATTATTATTTAGCTACAGCCACCCTCCTTGCTTTAATTGTTTGAAGTCAGTGTGGTTTTTAGAAATCTGTATGAACATTTATCAAAATAAGTTGTGATTTTTATGCTATTTTATTTAATGTTGACAGTTGATTTAATATCATATGAATATTCCACTTATACTACAGAATACAGGATATTTAATGTTTCTGTACTTCATTAACTGTATATACTTTATTGTGGTGATAGTTTTGTGGCTATATACAAATATCAAAACTTGTGAATTATATATTTTAAATATGTGCAGTTCTTAAGGTTCAGTAAAGCTGTGAATCATACATAAATACACCTTTTGGTTGTTAAAATAGCTGCCATCTTTAGAAGGTATGCTTTCTTTTGGTGTGGTTTAACTTTGGTTTTTGTTTCTCTGTTTGGTTTTTGCTTATATGTTTCAGTTTTCTCAAAATAATCTAAGCATTTTCATTGATTAGAGCAAGTCATACATGGTGACCAGTGTAAATACTGAAACTAATCATCTTTTGGACCATAAAAAAACTAACCTTTTTTGTTTGGTATCAGACACTAGCCATGTTTCTGATGTACCTTTATTCCAAATATTAAAAACAACAGGGATATTGTCAGGTTTTTGGTGCTACCAACACAGCCTTAAATAAATAACTAAATTTGGCTATTTCAATTACTAAGTAGAAAGGGAAGAAATCCTATGTCCTCTTAACTCATTTTTATCTTTTTATAAGTAACTTTTTCATTCTTCTTATTTTAAAGTTCTTGCCAAGTAGAAGAGAAAATTATTTATCCAGTAACCCAAACTAATGAACCCAAACCCATACTGTTTTTATTTATAAAGTACAGTTTTGGGTTCATTAGTAATATAGATCCTCTTATGTGACACCATTAGTAGAAGAAACCTTTTTTAAAAAAAACGGAAAAAAAACAAAAACATAAACTCAGTTCACAACAGAAGTTTTCCATGTTGTTGCTTTTATGTGCAAGGTACATCCCAGTAAAACTTTTTTTCTGTTTATAGATAAATATCTAGAAAATATTTTAAAGCATAAAGTCTGACTACAGGTGGATTAGTAAAATAAATAGATTGATTAAAAGCTCAGTCTCAAGGCAGATTCCCCTAGCTAAACTAGATAGCTTGATTAAAAGCTAACCTAAATAAACAACATAAATTTATGGTAGAGGTTGTTGAATGTTTTTCCCCATCTAAGTGAACTTTGCCCTGGTGAAAGGTTGCCTGTGGTAGAAAGTTCCTTGAGCATGTAAAACTTCTTGGTATTCATTGTTCACATAGATTTTCAGATTGTCTTTTGCAGAGCTATATAGTTTCAATATCTGGTACCTGTTTTTTAAGCTTCTTGTAGTCACCATAATGCTATTAACAGCACTCCAAATAAAATTAAACAACAGCAGCAACAAAACCATTATGTAAGCCTTAATTTGAGTGATGATAAGATAGGTAGACTCCTGCCCCCTCTCTTCCTTCATCACCTCCAAACACTGTACCTGCATCGTTAGGGTAGGTTTGATACCTATGCAAAGGGTAGGTTTGATACCAATTCTCGAAAAACTTTGTCTTCAAAATATGTTTTCGACAGTGTGAATGTTTAGGTTCTTATTAACCAACCTATGAGAATTAAATATGGTTCATCTGAATCTCTAAAGAAAACTATGTCTGGTTGTAGCTCACATGAGCCAAATCCAAACCTGTATTTTAAAAGACAAATTTTCGTCCCAGTCCTCTGGGTGACTCATGAATGCCTAATCAATCCATATCACTTTTCCACAAAAGTTGTTTGTATTATATTTTTTTCCAATAGTGTATATATCCTGAAATTAGTAGTGAACCATAATTCAGTATTACATCTTCACATTTCAATCACACTTTCCAAGTCATTCATTAAAATTTTTTTTACTTTTGAAATATATATGCTAAATATTTGTGTTGTGTCTGTCAAACACTCAATATGTCCTTTTAGTAAGGTAGGAAAGTTACTATTGGATCCCCAAAAGTATGTGTGAAAAGTACAAAGGTGTCCTCCCATTACCCCCACCGCCACCACCCACATTTCCTGATTTAGTACCATACTTTCTTAACAAGACATTTTAAGTCTCATGCTCTACTTACTGAGCTAGCTAGGCACTCTTACCTGGACATCTTAGATTAGATTAAACTCTTAAGACTAATATATCCTTTGTGAAAAAGTGAGATTATAGATGGGTTTCTAAAGGACTGTGGAACATTTTTAACCACCAGATTACTGCTTTAGCATGATATCCTGCCACCCTAAAGAGACTGCATAAACAAAATCCACAGTAGTTTCAGAAAGATGCTTTTGATATATTTACATTTAATTATCTAAATCTAATTCTGTAGTTTTAGTTTTAAATGTCACATAATTTGAGTTATCAGGAAAATAGTTGTATAGTAAACTGACCCTATAAAGACTTTTTATCATTAATTTGATCTTATGTAATAAGATAGATATCAAATATTATCTTCTTCCTAGCTAAACTAATTTTTCCTTTCAAATTCACTGGGAATAGTACCTTTCCATAGACTTTTAAATTGAAATTAAATATTTTGTGATTTACTAGGAAGTCAAATTTGTTATGTTTTAAACAAGGAAGAGGAATTAACCTTTTTCCAAAAAGTAGAACAGAATTTCTGACATCTGCTTTGTTTCTAGTTAATGTTGGCATATCTTACTTTGTGAGGTAATTGTATCTCCATTCAAACAGAAGATTCTTTGTTCTGTCTTTACTAAATAGAAAGGAATGCCTTATGTTAGACCTTCTGCCCATGCATGTGTCACTTCTGTCTTGCACAGATGTATATTGTAAAGGCATTCACACATGTCCTCAGCCACACAGTGTGTCATTTTACAACATATCTTGAAGGTTTCTTTTTCAGTTCATTTAACGTTTGCACATTAGTGGCTTTATAGTCAAAGTTTTACTTTGGAGTTAATTATTTTGGTGGGGGAGGGTTGGTCTAGAGCTCCTCTTAAGGCCTTCAAAGGCCTGAATTGATTATCTACAAAGTCTCCTTACTTTAGTAGGTATTGTTCATATATATATGGAAAAAGGTTAATAATATATGTAGTAGCTTTAATAAGTCTAATTGCTTCTTTGACTATTTGAATCATTTAAGTTTCTTTCCAGAGAATTTTAACTCTTTCTGTCAGTTTATTCTTAAATTACTTTAGGGGATTATTTTTACTCAATTTCCACAGCCCTTTTTTTGTATGACTTTAGTCATATCAAAGAATTTTTAGGAAAAAAAATTTCATCTATCATTTTTAAATGGTAGTTTTTATTTTTAAGTGCTAACTTTAATATAAATTTTTAATTATAGATCCTTCTGAATACCCATCAAAATTATTTTGTCAAGATGCCACAATTGTCAAAGGCATCAAATACAAACAAATAATTATACTCCATAGACATAAACGATAGGCCTGTTTTATGATCTGTCCTTCTTTATTTCAATAGTTGTATGAGTCACCTAATGGTATGCCTCCATTTTCCTAGCAGTAAAATTAGAATAATGAATTTTGTAAACTTTTGAGATCCTTGAATAAGTGATGTGTTTGCTATATACTGTTATTTTTTAAATAATACATGTAGAAAAATAAGTATTTCTTCTGCATGTCTCTATATTTTTCTTTAAGTTAATAAATTAAGAGAAGATCTAATTATTTCTAAATCCCAGCATTTACATAGTAAGTGGAAATATTTCTGAGAAAAAAAAATATTAGTAATAATTAAAACTTAGTATGTTTCAAGCACTAATCTGAACCCTTTAAACATATTTTATTTAACCTTCATAACAACTTTATAAGAGAAGTTCTAATACTAACTTCATTTAACAGATAAGAAAACTGAGGCCCACGATGTTGCCTAGCAAGTGCTATAACCAGGATTTAGGCCCAGTCTTATTCCAGAGCCTGAATGCTCTTAACCACTGACCCCTGCCTCTGCTTGAACACCTCCTATGATCCATTCCAGTGTCATACATGTTCATTTAAAAGCTAGTCTCTAAATGAAGTATTTCAGAATGAAATGATACAGAGTTTTGGATTTGCTTTAAAATATTCCAGTAGGGGCAGACATGAAACAGATTTTTCCACCAAAAACTGTAGAAGGCTGAGAGATAAGCACATAAGATCCATTATACTATTCTCCATTCTTATGTATGTTTGATAATTTTCATAATACTATGGTTTTTTAAAAGTTAATCTCTATATTAAACTAAAACATTCTATAGGGTTTTAGAATCTAATTTGTTTTAATTTTAATTTTTCTTTTGTTTAATGATATTTGTTATGTGCCCAGTGATAATTCAGATATTTGACTGGCTTTTTCTACCACTTATTTTTTAATTAGAGGCCTGGTGCACGAAATTCATGAACTCGGGGGAGGGGGGTCACTCAGCCCAGCTTATGCCCTTTCGCAGTCCAGGAGCCCTTGAGGGATGTCCGACTGACGGCTTAGGGGAGCAGGCCTAAGCCGTCAGTCGGACATCCTTAGCACTGCTGCAGAGGTGGGAGAGGCTCCCGCCACCACCACTGCACTTGCCAGCTGTGAGCCTGGCTTCTGGCTGAGTGACGCTTCCCCCTGTGGGAGTGTACTGATCACCAGGGGAAAGCTCCTGCATGGAGCGTCTGCCCCCTGGTGGTCAGTGCGTGTCATAGCGGCCAGTTTTTCTGCCATCGGGCCAAAACTGGCTCTCCGACATCCCCTGAGGGGTCCCAGATTGCGAGAGGACAGAGGCCAGGCCGAGGGACCCCTTGGTGCACGATTGGGGCCAGGGAGGGACATGTGGGAGGTTGGCCAACCAGGGAGGGACCGCAGGAGGGCTCTGGGGTGTGTCTGGCCCGTCTTGCTCAGTCTCAATTGGCCAGACCCCAGCAGCAAGCTAACCTACCGGTCAGAGTGTCTGCCCCCGGTGGTCAGTGCACGTCATAGCGAGCGGTTGAGCAGCCTTAGCATATCATTAGCATATTTCGCTTTGATTGGTTGAACGGCCAACTGGTCAACCGGACACTTAGCATATTAGGCTTTTATTTTATATAAGATAAGTATTCTTAGTATTTTAACATAATCTGTATTTGTTTTTACAGGAGCCAAGCAATAAAAGAGTTCGACCTCTAGCTCGGGTCACATCCTTGGCAAATTTAATCTCTCCTGTAAGAAATGGAGCAGTCAGACGTTTTGGTCAAACAATACAGGTCAGTGAGGGAGGGGATGGGGAGCAGTAATGTAGTGAAAGGGACATTTTATAGAAGCCTCAGATTTGTATTTTTCTTTGAGTTGTACAAACAGGTTTATATTATTATACTTAAACATAATTTTTCATTTTGGAATATGTTGGTAAGAAATATTGTTACCAGAACATACTAATGTGACTTCATTTTATTACTTTGTATCTTATATCAAATCTTAGTCTTGGATTGTTTTTCTTCCTAAAAAGTAATTTTGGCTGATAAATACTTTAAAATGGTAGATTAAAGCTTGGATAAATGGCTGTTTTATGCATAGAGAAATTCTCAGAACTTTGGTATTAATTTGTCTATTTTTTAAGAAAAGGGAATAATTACTGTGTCTTCCAAATCTTTTCTCTTTTATCCACCTCTTTTTTTGTTTGTTTGTTTTCTTTTAAGTCATTTACCCTTCGTGGTGACAATAGATCTCCAGCTTCTGCCCAGAAGTGGTCTAGCAGATCAACAGTCCCAACACCTGCTAAAAGGAGAAGTAGTGTATTGTGGTCAGAGATGTTAGACGTCAGCATGAAGGAGTCTTTAACTACCAAAGAAATTAAACGTCAGGAGGTATGCTGGCATCCAGTAGACCATATTTATTGACTTATATTTTTTAAAATAGTCCCTATTTTTTAAACGTATTTTGCAAGAAGAATAGCAAATTAATGCCTGTGACAAAATCAACTTGGATTTCTGTATCTGAGTAGCACTTTTTGATGGGTGATGGTCATCAAACTTAACAACTCTTAAGGAGAGGGTAAAATCATGAAACATGGCAGCCTCTTATTTGAGATTCCATTCTGAATTACAGATTTCAGACTGAGTCACTTTAAAAAGCACTGTTCTAAATATCAATTGTATATAATTTTCTTTTCTCAAAAAAGGAATGACCTATCATGTTTGCTGGACTTTTTTGTAGGCAATATATGAAATGTCTCGAGGTGAACAGGATTTAATTGAGGATCTCAAGCTTGCAAGAAAGGTCAGTAAATAACTTTATTATATGCCCTAGTTTTTAAAAATATTTCACAAATTCTAAAGGATAGTTCTCTTAACCTTTACAAGAAGAAAAGTAGAAAATACCTACTGATGAATACTTTTTTTAGATGAGATTTATTAAACACATCTCTTCAAGTATGAATATCAGTAAGAGCATCTACTTGGGGATTAATATATACCTTAATGTCTTTTATGTGTAACGAATAGAATTCCCCGCTAGTTTTTAAGAAAAAGGAATAATTACATTCAAATACAGATCCTCTCGTGTTTTATTTGCTCAATATCTTTGTGTGACACATTTCTTCCTATCTAATAGGCCTACCATGACCCCATGTTAAAGTTGTCTATTATGTCAGAAGAGGAACTAACACAAATATTTGGTGATCTGGATGCTTATATACCTCTGCATGAAGGTAAAACATGCTCCTTAATTTTTATTAGTATCTGAACAGTAGTAACACAGATAATTTTACATCTAAACTACTAATTTAATGCTGAAGTACTTTAAAAATAAGCCTACTATTGGTATTTCTGCTTTTTTATACTTCAGATTTGTTGGCAAGATTAGGAGAAGCAACCAAACCTTCTGGAACAATAGAGCAGATTGGTGACATTCTTGTGAATTGGGTATGTAGCGAGTTGTTTGCTTCAGATAGTTTTTTACATATTTTCTATACTTGTCATTTTTTATGAATATCAGGTGATTTGATCCAGTAACTGGATTATAAAAATAGATAAGACATTAAAACTGAACAAACTTATGTAGCTGTAAGAAGTTACTAGTATAGTCTCTGTTTAAAAAACAAATACTTCATGAATGATAGTTTAAAAAAATATATATATATATATTCCCTCTTTGGACAGAATCCCCACAGTATATGTCATTAATTATTTGTTTCATTCTTTTGCTTAACATTTGTGCCTGCCAGATACTAGGCACTGTTCTAGGTGGGATCACAGGAAATTCAGTGATGAAAGACAGTTTGTACATTTAAAATCTAGTGAAAGAATATCTGTCAACTATATAAAAGTCTCAGAGTTGGTGATGAATGTGCCAGAGGAACACTCAGGTGTCCTGGGAATACAGAAGAATAGCATCTAACTGAATTTGGGGGAAGTCATGAGTCTTTGGTTGAATTTAGTCAAATTATCGGAATAGGGTGTTCTGATGTCAACCCAAAACACTATCCTTCCCCCATTGTCACCTGCAGGAAAATTTTCACAGCTTGTTAAAACTTTTAAGAATAGCTGTAGTTTTTGTGTTTCATGTTCACAGGCTTACTAATGGACTAAATCGTAACAGAAACTTACCATACTTTGTTTTCTTTAATTACTCTGTAGTTGCCAGGCTTGAATGCCTACAAAGGCTATTGTAGTAACCAGCTGGCAGCCAAAGCTCTTCTTGATCAAAAGAAACAAGATCCAAGAGTCCAGGACTTTCTCCAGCGATGTCTTGAGTCTCCCTTCAGTCGAAAACTAGATCTTTGGAGCTTCCTAGATATTCCTCGAAGTCGCCTAGTCAAATACCCTTTACTGTTAAAAGAAATTCTTAGACATACTCCAAAAGACCACCCTGATGTTCAGCTTCTGGAAGAAGCTGTAAGTAGTCAAATACATGACTCTTATGTTTTGCAAATTTATATATTAGCTTGCCTTAGAAAGATTTACAATGATACTCTCAAATTTAATGCACATCACACCAGCATAGTGAAGTGTTTCGTTGTTTTTTAGTACCCAGTATCATAGTGCACTGCATGGTATAAAGAGACGTAATATATTTTAATCACAAAACTGGATTCTAATCTGATCTCTTTCACTAGCTAGCTATGTGACTTTGGGCAAATCAACCAATTTGGCTGAGGCTGTTTTTTAATATGTAGAATGAAGGGACTGATTGAATTTACTGATTTCTAGGGTCCCTGTAAGCTTTAAAATTTTATCATTTTAAAAGATGTTTTAGCCTTATAGGGGAGCAGGATAAATTAGTAAGCTGAAAATGCTCCATCAATGTTTTGATAATTTTTAGGTACTGATAATACAAGGCGTTCTCTCTGATATCAACTTGAAGAAAGGCGAATCAGAATGCCAATATTACATTGACAAACTGGAATATCTGGATGAAAAGCAGAAGGATCCTAGAATTGAGGCAAGCAAAGTATTGCTTTGTCACGGGGAACTGAAGAACAAAAATGGACATGTGAGTGCATTTGAATGCTAATATGAAGTGAGCTATTATTTTTCTTTTCCAACCCTGTTTAAATTTATCACATGATGAAAGAAGGTTACTGGTCTTTATTTCATGTTATTTGATAAAGCAAACATGATTTCTCATGAATTACTTAAATGCCTTAGTGGAGAATCAATAATATTTTTTTTTGATGCATAAGTCATCAACTTGTTTGGCTAGGAGATTCCTTTCTAAATAAATTGTTAATTTCATAATATTTAATAACAAAGAATATTCAAAAAATGTAGAGTTTATTTTATAGTGATAGAAGTCTTTCTTAGTACTACTGAACACATTTCTGCAGCAGATTGAATGAAAGCAAACTTATTTTTTTAAATAATTACAAAAGCACCAGCTAGAACTAAGTTTAAGCTTGGATAGATAGTATTTTTGTTTCATAAAGTGCTTTCCAAAAGCTCAGTTTATAAGTTGAGGTTCTTTTTGGAAAAAGTTGAAGTGTGATATCTCTGATTTTTTATTTGTGACAAAGCAGAACCATTAATTAACATTTTTATCAGCTTGCATTTTTTAATCCTTCCTTTGTTAGAAAACTATGGAATACAGTACTGGTGTTTCTAGTCATGTTACTACTGATAATCAGGTCTTTGTGGGGAGTAGCATTTACTCAGCTACTGCTTAATCTAATGTTACACACCAATTTTAAAGGTTTTATGTAGTCTAAGATTAGAAAAGCTGTTTGTGTAGAATATGCACAGCCTTGAATAACAATCTTTATGGGGTCATTTGTAAGGGTATCTTAGTAAATTAATGTGATGAAATTAATGTCAAATCAAGTTATTTTAACAGTGGATTGTAATCACCTACAGTCACCAAGTGCCATACTTAAGAAGCATTTGTTTCCCCTTTCTCCAGAAACTTTACATTTTCCTGTTTCAAGACATCTTGGTTTTGACCCGGCCTGTTACACGAAATGACCGTCACTCTTACCAGGTTTACCGGCAGCCTATCCCAGTCCAAGAGCTGGTCTTAGAAGACCTACAGGACGGAGATGTGAGAATGGGAGGATCCTTTCGAGGGGCTTTCAGCAACTCAGATAAAGGTAAAAATACTAGCTTTAAAACAGTTTAAACAAACTCAGAATCTAAATATATTTTGTTTTAATCTTTAAGAATTCTGTTCCTACACAAAAAATTAGAAATGAAATAGGTTCCATTGTCCTATATATACTATTATACTCATTAATGTGTAAAGTGCTTTGCTGCTCTAACACCTGCAGGTGTATCTGATAAGTCATGTATAAACTTTGTATCATGTATCTACCTAATTGATTTGCATATTATATAAACTAGGGGGCTGGTCCAGCTGGAGGGAGGGGACACAGGAGGTTGGTTGGCTGGCCCCACCCCCTGGTCAAACTCCCAATCAAGGGGATAATTTGCATATTAGCCTTTTATTATATAGGATAACCAGCACCCTTATTAAGATAGTAGGACCCTGTTATCTAGAATAATCTTTTTATTTATTTAAAGCTGCTATTTTATTTTTTTCATTTTTATTTCTCTAGCTAAAAATATCTTTAGAGTTCGCTTCCAAGATCCCTCTCCGGGCCAGTCACACACTCTACAAGCAAATGATGTGTTCCACAAACAGCAGTGGTTCAATTGTATTCGCACTGCTATTGCCCCTTTCCAGCAGGCTACTAGTTCACCTGAGCTGCAAGGTTTGCCAGAGCTCCATGAGGAGTATGAAGAGAACAACCCCGCCGCCGGGAACATCAGAGCCCAGAGAAGGTCATCTACGGTGTCGAGTGTGACTCAGGTGGAAGTTGATGGAGATACTTCAGAATGTGGCTCCCCGGTGCACACCGCAGACAACATTAAGAGTGTCAAAGCACACCGAACACAATCTGGCTTCCGAAAATCAAGGGACAAAGCCCACTTTAGTGGCAAACGGAAAGAGACTTTGGTATAAAGAGTGTTAACTAGTGGAGAAACTGTTTATTTATAAATGTGTACAGTTTGTTTTATCTTGTAATGTGAGCATGGGAGCATTGCAGGGTTACTTAATACCAGTCTTAACATTTTCTATGTTTTTGGTTGGTTTTGGTGGTTGTTCCCTTTTTTTTTGTTTGTTTTATTTTTTGTTTTTTTTTTTGTTAAGGCAGCTAAAGATATATATATATATATATACACAGATTGCTGTTAAACTGCAATCCTTTTTTCCCCCCAGATATTTTCTCAAGATTATTGAGAACATTCAAGCCTGATATTTTCAGTCAAATGAAATATTTATGAAATGGGTTTTCTCTTCATTCTGCATTCATCATGACTTTTCAATACTAACCAATTGTGGAATTTGCAGCATTTGCCAAAACTTAAAATTTTGCAAATACTTGGATTTTACCAGTGTTATTTTGATAAGCTTTGTGTGCAGAATTTGAATTTTTAACTTTGGCATCTAAAGTTTACATGGAATACATGTAATATTTCAGAATTTACATTGAAACATAAGTTCCTTGGAAAACAAACCATAAAACGTAATAGGTTTTCCATTTTATCAACTGGAATGCTTTTTCCACTACACATTCCTCATTTTCGTTCATTTAACCTGCCAATTATTTAATTTTTTTATTGTAGTTTTTAGGATTTGGTTTTATTTTTTTACTTTGATGCCTTTCAGATTGGCATGTCTTTAAAGTATTTTGTTTCCTTGATTTAAAAATGTGTTTGTGTGCGTATGTGTATATATATAAATATATATATTTTAAATCATATTAACTTTACCAAGTGAAACCAAGCCATACTGTTTTTGAGCCAATTAAGAAAATTGCCATTTTTAAAGTGTAGCATTTTGAGGCGATGAACACACATGAACTGACAGTATATTCTAGATTACTGAAAGAAAAACCACCTTATGAATTTTGTTGAAAGTTTTAGTGTTGTCTGAGAAGCAAGAGGGAAGGCAGTTGACTGGTAATAAGTATTAAAAAAAAATGAGGGAAAAGAGAGTAGTTTTGTCTTAAAGGAAAACTATCTGGTTGTGCCAGAATGTGAAAGGAGATAGTAAAAGCTAAACTTGAGGGTGTGTAGTAAGTTGTAGAAGGCATGGGGGAAGTGGACTTTATTTGCCTTGGTTTATAATGCCTGCAAATAATGGGTTTGAAAAGACAATGGAATATGTTGAAATTTTGACCATATTAGATCAATTTTGGTGAATTTATTCATAAGAGGAGGGGAAAAGACTGATTAATCTTTTATTATAAAGTGTTCCTGTTCAAATGAGATCCTAGTCTATAATTGCGGACTAAACGTCCTGTGTCATGACAAATTTATAAGGGTTATCAATTAAAGTAAATGTTGATTGGTATGTCAACTATAATTGGCCAGGGGAAGTGAAAATTGAAAAAGACTGTATATAGATCAATCCAAATGATTTCTCTGTATAAATGAATTATACAATTAAAAAAAGCACACAAACAATCACCCTTAAAGGTTTCTTGGCTGGTGGATATTTGGGGGACATTTGCCAGAATATGTTGGTATGATGAAGTACTGGCAGACCTCACAAAAGTTTTTAAAAATTATACATAAACTTTTGCAATTAATTGATGAATAAGAGAAAGATTTAGTTAGGTCATTTTGTGCATCTTATTAAGCCATTTAGGATGAAGTATAATCACAAACAGCAATTGAGTTGAAGACAGCTGAATATCTGGCCACTTTGTGGATGTGATTGTAAGGCTAATAGCAAAGCATTCTGATGAATTTGATTAATTTCAAATTCTAATTTAGGTATCTCAGGTTTCTAACTATGACTTGAGACATATCAAAGAATTGCAATGTATGGACTTAATTGAAACCTAAATCAAACAAACTTTTTTAACAAGACAATCAGAAATATCCACTATTGACTGGATATTTGAAGTTCAGTACTTTTATTTTTCTGTTTAACAGTAGTACTCTGATTACCTTTAGAGACAAAATCTGAAATATTTATTGATAAAATTGTATTATTTCTAGGATTCCCTTCAAAATTACAGGGCAGGAAAATAGTTGGAGCTAAAAATGAAACAAGATTGGCCATAAGCTGAGAATTTCTGAAGCTAGGTGAGAGATATTGAGAATTCATTATAGTCTTTGCATATCTTTTTGTATATGTTTGAAACTTCACTACAAAAGGAAAAGAACTTAAGGAATTGCAGGTATCTAGTAAGTTTTCAACTTCTCAACCTCTTAACACCTTCCAAGCCCCCAGCCTTCACTTTCCAAAGTAAGGCCAGAATGTTGATCAAACACAACTGCCTTTGCTGTTTACCATCTCACAGAAACTCAAACCTTTTGCCTAAATTTGACACTCAACATCCTCTTCATTACAGCTTGGCAGTAGTTAGACTAATCTCGACTCTGGTTTAATTCACACGGCCCTTTTCTCTACTTTTCTTTTCCCAATGTCTCCCTCCCTCTACCACTACTTGTTTTCTTTGCCTACCCTTTTTTCTCTGACACAAACATGGATCCACAACTGTATAAAATGAAGCAGTGAGAAAGGTATGTTTCCAGTTCACCCAATGAAGTAATTCCATGAAACCCAACCCTGAGAATTTCCAGTAAAGACCATTTTGTTAACTACATTCCTGCCTCTTAAGAAAGGAACTAGCATTAAAATATCTGGTAATGTTTGCGTTGTTGAATAGACCAGAAAGTAAGGCAAAATTAGCTACATTTAAATAATTTTGATAATCTACCATGGAATTCCGATTTCTCCATAGCTGCTGCTGGGGGCAGGTGAAAATATTTTCATTTTCCTCCTTCACTGAGCAGGGCAAGCAGAGATAGATTAATTAAGTTAGACCCGATCATTACTCTGATTCCCTCCTTACCAGCAGAGGCATCTGAAATCAGGAAACATCAAGTGACTTGCCCAAGGTCACACAGCTGGTATGTGGCAAAGCTGAGATGAAGTGTACCAACCCTGCATTGTAGCTCTTGAACCAAACATGCTTGTCACCCCAGGATCCCCCTGCCCAACCCCAATCCCACCTTAGGCTACCACCACTCAGAGATCCACCTCTGGTGGAAGACCTTGTCTGTTCTTCACCTTGGACCCAACCATCTTGAGTTTATGCTACTACCCAGCAGTCCCAGCTCATTCTGCATCATAACTCTCCAACTTCCCCTAAGAAAAGTTGACTAAACCCACCATCCCTCCCTTTTGAAAATACCACTTCCTCCAACTCCTGTGCTCCCATGTTTCTCCTTGTTCTACCTTCCTAGCATCTTCTCTCCTTTGGCCACTTCTCTTCTAGATCTAAATTTTGTAAAGCCACAAGCCTCAGTCCCCAGACTTCTTTTTTATGCTCCTGGGACATCTGATCCATTCCCATGACTTGAACATCACCAACACCCAACAACTCCCAAATTTATATCTTTAGCTCTCACCTCCCTGAGCTCCAGACTCACTACCCAGCAGCCTATCTGACATGCCCACTGGGAAGTCTATATCTCACACTTGACCCAAGAGAACTTGCTGTCCATCCCTAATCCTTTCCTCCCCTAATATTCCTAACTTAGTAAATGTCATGACCATTCAGCCAGTCTGATTCTTCTAACTCACTCTTACCCCATGACTACTACATCTGTAAGCCATGTCACTCCACTTCCACAATTTAGAATCCTACCATTGCCCATCACTTTCATTATTCCAAGTTAGTATTAGCTGCAGTAGCTCTGGCCTTAAAAACAGCCACAGCCTCATAACTGCCTGCCACACTTCACTCTCACCACCATATCACAGCCAGATGATCTTTCCAATGCAAAAGTCAGGCCATAATAAAATATCAAAGTAAAACGTTAGCACTTTAAAAGTTACATTTTTCTGATGCTAAAATGTATACAGTTGTATTATGGAAAATTTGTAAAATTCAGAAAATTATAAAAAATAAATTGCCTGAAGAGAGTGAGAAAACATTCAAATCCCACTTACCAAAGACTAGGGAAAAAATATTTGTAAAGTGAACAAACCATTTTTTAAATAGGCAAAAGACCTGGGCACCTTGCCAAAGAAGATATACTAGTACAGATGGCAAATTGTGCACATGGAGAGATGCTCCACACCATGTCACTAAGGAATTGCAAATTAAAGCAACAATGAGCTATCAGAATGTTGAAATCCAAAACACCGTCAACACCAAATGCTGGTGAGGATGTGGAGCAACAAGTCTCATTCGTTGCTGGTGAGAATGCAAAATGGAACAGCCACTTGGAAGACGGTTTGTCAGTTTCTTACCAAACTACAAAACCTACCATATGATCTAGCTATCATGCTCTTTGATATTTACTCAAAGGAGTTGAAAACATGTCCACACAAAAACCTGCAGCTTTATGCATAATTACTCAAACTTAGAAGCAAACAAGATGTCCTTCGTGAATGGATAAAATGTGGTTCATCCAGACAATGGAATATTATTCAGTGCTAAAAAGAAATGAACCAGCAAGCCATGAAAAGACATGAAAGAAACTTAAATGCATTTACTAAGTGAAAGCAGCCAATCTGAAAAGGCTATGTACTGTATGATTCCAAATATAAGACATTCTGGAAAAGGCAAAACTGTAGAAACAGTAAAAACATGAATGGCTGTTAGGAATTGAGGGTGGGAGAGTGATGAATAGGTGGAACACAGAGGACTTTTAGGACAGTGAAACTATATGACACTAGTGGTGGATACATGTCATTATACATTTGTCCAAACCCACAGAATTTACAACACCAAGAGTGAACCTGTTGTAACGTACCCCGCGAATCACAGAAGAACGCCTCAAGAAGTCGAATTAAAGAGTCACATTTATTGCAATCCGGGACTGTGAGGGGCCATTCCCAAATCTCATAGTGATAAGATGGTGGCAAAACCAGACTTATATAGGCAAAGATCACAAAGGTATTGATTACATCTTAAGGTTTGGAATGAGGAACCTGGTTTGCAAAAAAGCAGTTTACAGAAGCAGAATTAAGCATGTTAATTATAGTTTTGGGTCTCGGGGTCACTGAATTGACAGAAACACCTTATCTAGAACCCTCGGGTCTTGAGACCACTGGGTTGCCAGGAACTCATTATCTAGAGCCATCAAAGTAATTTAGAGTAATTGCGCTGTCCTGGTCTTGGGACCACTGAGTCAACGGGAATGCATTATCTGTGGCCACTAAAACAATTTAGGATAATTGTGCTGTCCTGTTTCCCAGGTATAGAAGAATGTGCTTTCTAAAACCAGTAAGATCACAATCAATGGGATAGTCATGTTACAATCAATAAGGCATTCAATCGAATGGGATGACTTATACAATTTAGAAAATCAAAGTAACTTGTCCATTATTAAACAAAGCAAATAGGTACCATACTTCAAACCCTAATGTCAACTTTGGACTTTGGGTGAATCGATTGTAACAAATAGACATTTGTTACAAACCTCATTTCTAGAACTTCTTCCATCGCAAACAATTCAGTTCTCAACTAAGTTGTTCACAGAAAAAAATGTCTTGGTTGACAACCAAAACTTCAGTTTTTAACCTGACCACCCTTTCATGTTGATACCTCAGCATGACAAAAAGCATCTCTCAGGCAACAAACAAAGGAGAGAATGCTTTTGTTGCTAGCTAAATCTATGATTAGCACAATTTTAAAACATAAAGAGTGCTCATGTATCTAAGGGTGTGAAAGTGCTCAAAAAAAATCACAGGCAATTGACTAGGTAGAAAAATTGTTGATTGGATACAAGAAAAGCAGTTAGCCAGTGATAGTATTTTGGTGGCAGTGATATATGAAAAATTTGTTTAAGGCTAGGAGGGGGTGGTTCCATAAATTTTTAAAAAGAAGTGTTTATTTGTAGATTAAACTAGTGGGCCAGTGCACAGATTCATGCACATTGAAAGGAAATTAGAAGAAATATTTTAATATCACTATTTGCCCTTTCTCTATAATAGAAGTGTCAACCAAATTCACGATCGACAATGACAGATTGAAACGCACAAGTGCAATTGGCATCAGTGAAACCTTTATATGTATCACACACATGCGAGTCAACGTTTATTTTTAAATTGCAAATGCACATCATATGTACTGGCCAGTGGGTCAGTCAGATGGTTGGATGGACAGACGGTCGGTTACTTAGCCTTTTATATATATAGATAGTACATTAGACATGTACTATATATAAGAAAGGTTAAAACAGAATCATTCGGGGTCTGGGCTGGATTAATTCAATTTGCATTATTTCTAATGGGGAAAAATGATTCGGTTTTCAAACAAATCACTTCCCAAGCAGCCATCCAGAACAAATTAAGTTTGAGAAATTAAGTTCCACTGTATCTGGTTTGGGATGTTGATAATAGCTGAAGTTATGGAGGAAGATGGTGACCGGCAGGAAGGTAGGGAGGGAGAGAGAGTGAGAGCGCGAGGGAGTGATAGAGGAGTGTGTGGACATGTGTGGTGTG